TGTTATGTTTCTTGCTTGAACTAAGAAACTAACTAACTTGATTGTACTTCAATAAAATATATTTATTTTAAAACTCAGAGTTGTAACGTAATACATGTGTTCGAGTCGATGGATGAATTGGTGAATGAAATAAAGAATGGAAAATCGACTCGACCAAATGAGTGTTTGTTTTATATGAAAATGTCGCCGTTGCCATGCAAGCTGTTTGTGTCGTATATCGATTCATTCGATTCATTATATCGATATACAACATCTCCCCCCTTTTTAAAAAAAAAAAAAATTAACGACGGTGGAAGTCCTTGAACTTCGCCGGACTTCGCCTGGAGCGCAGAGAACGCCGGATTGGCTCTGTAGATGGCGCGGAAAGAGGTTCAGACGTAGTAGGCGCTCTATGCTTCCGCGAAGTTTGTGGCTGAGGAACCACTTGCTGTTGTGGCGGAAGAAATACTTGCTGCGGCGTCGTAACTTCTTGTAGAGAGGTCAAAGTTCCTTGTTCAGTTTGAAGTGAAGACGGTTTTTTTTGTAGTGGAGGTGTTACTTGTAATGGTTCCAGTGTTTGACACGAAGAATCAAGAAGATCGAAAGCGTTGATAAGAATTTCTGCGGAAAGTTCTTTGTTATCCGCACTGTCAAATCTCAGTCTGACCTGATTTGCATGAGCACGAACTAGTCGACTGCGAGTTGGAACAAGGACGTTGTACATGACTTTCCCGACTCGCTCGATAATCTCTCCACGTATCCAAGACCATTTGTTCAAAGTGTGAACCTGGACGTAGACTAGAGCACCGGGTGAGAATTCTTTGTGTTTTGCCCCATGCTTCCGATTGTACTGAGTTTCTCTTTTCAGCTGATCTTCAGTTTTTGAACTTGAGTGAGAAGAAGGCTTTAACAAATCCAAGGTGGTACGGATTGGATTACCTAGCAGAGCTTCCGCTGGAGATTGTCTCTTGGGAACATTTGGATTAGGAGTTGTTCTGTAACATTGAAGGAAGACTGGTAGAAAATCCGACGATGTCTTTCCTCCTGCTTGGAGCTTGGCGAGTCCACGCTTGAATGTATCAACAAAGCGTTCTGCCTGACCATTCGAACTGGGATGGAAAGGAGGACTACGCAAATGCTGAATTCCATTGGTTAGACAAAATGTTTCAAACTTTTCTGAAACAAATTGAGTACCATTGTCTGATACAATTGTTTCAGGAATACCAAAACGAGCAAAAATATCTTGAAGGATATTTATTGTACGTTGAGCTGTGATTGATTGAGTAGGGAAAACCTCCGGCCATTTTGAATACGCATCAACAAGAACAAAGAAATATTCTCCGTTTAAAGGACCTGCATAATCAACGTGCACTCTCTGCCAAGGTTTTGTTGGTTGAGCCCAGCTTGAAAGCGGAACCCTGACAGGAGCTTTTGAAGAGAGAGCACAGTTTCTGCATCCCTTGACAAATTGCTCAACTTCAGCATCGATCTTGGGCCAATAAACGTAGGATCGTGCCAAATTCTTCATCCGCTCAATTCCAGGATGACCTTTATGTAAGTCTTTTAAAATTTTAGAGTGAAAACACGGTGGAACAACGATCCTATCGTTAAAAACAAGACACTCGTGCACCACTGACAATGAATGACGTCTCCGGTAATATGGTAGCAAGGACTCCTTAACAGCTTGAGGCCATGACGTAAGAGAGTATTCAATAACTTCTTGTAAAATCTTGTTTTTCTTGGTTGCCTCTTGAATCTGTTGAAAAGTAATCGGCCCTTTTTGAAGCGACTCTTGGAAAGAAGAAGATAAATCATCCTCCAGTTGTACCGAAGCGATAACAAAATCCTCTTCAGGCCGAACTTGCTGATCAATAAGTCTTGAGAGTACATCAGCATGACCAAATTCACTAGTTTTGATGTACTCAATCCTGAAATCGTAGGACATAAGATGCAACGCCCAACGCTGCAAACGATTTGCTGAGTGCACCGATATGCCCTTCTTGCTTCCGAAGATTTGCAAAAGAGGCTTATGGTCTGTTTGAAGAGTAAAACGTCTTCCATAAATCATCCTATGAAACTTGGTCACAGCAAATATAATAGCCAATGCTTCTTTCTCAATTTGACTATACTTTTGTTCAGCAGAAGTAAGACTCCTGGCAGCATGACAAACTGCCTTGACTGAAAAATCCGAAAAACGGTGAAGGATGCAAGCTCCCACTCCTTCGTTAGAGGCATCTGCTGCCACAATAATCTCATGCTTAGGATTATAATGTGTGAGCAAAAGTTTAGATGTTAAAATCTTTTTGAACTGCTCAAAAGACTTCTGACACCGAAGAGACCACTCCCACGGTATGTCCTTCTTAAGCAAATGATCCAAAGGTCGACGCAATATGTGCATGTTTGGAATGAAACGCGAATAATAATTAATAGCGCCCAAAAATGATCGTAACGCAGTCAAGTTTCGCGGTGGAGGCATGTCAATAATTGCAGAAATCTTTTTGGGATCAGGATGCAAACCTTGTCCATCTATGATGTAACCAAGATAAATGATTTTATCCGTGAAGAAATTACATTTTTCTAAACGTAAACGCAAACCGTACTCTTGTATTCGCTCCAAGAGACGAGTTAAGTTTTGATTATGTTCCAGAACTGTCTCTCCACCTACCACCAGGTCGTCAATGTAGGCAAAAGTATTTGACAAACCAGAAATTAGCGAGTCCATGATTGCTTGGAACTCGCCAGGAGCCACTCTAACTCCGAAAGGCATTCGATTATAAACGTAAAGTCCACGATGCGTATTTATGGTAAGTAACTTT